AAACAAGATAACTCAAAGAACCGCCTGGATGGATTTGGTTTTATACTTGGTGTGTTGGTAGGGTGTGAACGAAAACTAGGAAATGATTAGTATTTTCGGTCCCCCTAGTGGCTTCCCTTGGTACTGCAGCGCAACTTCCGGTTTTGATATCTCGCGATCTGGACATGCTAGGGTCATGTAAATTTTGATGGGAGGTAGCTCTCGTGCTTGGGAAGAAGTCATATGAGTTTGGGCCCCCTAGCGGCTTGTTCTGGAACTGCAGGGCACTTTCTGGCGAAAATGTTTAAAAAAGCCAAATAAAGTCCAGACAGGAACAACATATTTTCATTATTTTGGTGTGTAGGTAGCTGAGAGAGAGGTGTGCATAATTAAATGTAAATTATGCAAATGAGGACTTTATTTGCATAATTAATGAGGAAATTCTATAATTACAGTGTTTTACATTATACTATGTAACCTATGGCAGGCGGAACTTCAACAGATACTAATTATGCAAATGATGACCTAATTTGCATAATTAATGTGAAAATTCTATGATTTCGTAATGGTGAATGATGAGAATGCCATACTTGGGACATCTGTAAGTTAATCAAAAGTTAACATACATCACGATGCATATATCATGTTAATGCAGAGGTCATTTGCACAATTAAAGAAGAAATTTACATTTACACATCAAGATCATATTTCATGGAGGTATGAGATCTCGGAATTCTAGTTTTAACATAGCCGGCCATCCTACATAGCCGCCGAGAGAAGGTTGCTTTCCTCCCACCAAAGCAACCTTCTCTCGGCGGCTATGTAGGATGGCCGGCTATATCAAAATAACGCGTTAAAAACTCTTCCCCACCGCCGCGGGGCCTGCACAGGAGGCTATATTAGGCATCATAAGGCTGGTAGTCATACTTTATTTATATAATTGACTTACTGGGGACTTTTTCAGCATTTCTTCACGAAAAATTTTAATAGAGTTTATCGTTTTTAAAAACTTCATTTCAAACTTTGTAGCCCTTTTCAGGGTTCAACTCCTAGTTAACTAACATTATATGACCCAAATGCCTTCCTTGACCTTACTTGTGGAGCAAAGTCCACCTGTTATGTACGTTTTTCGTGCTGTTATCCTCGTATGAAGCAGTAGAAGCAAAGTCCACTATGATCATGGGGCTAGGCATGCATAAGGGAAATTGCTCAAGCAATAAAAATCTAACAAAAAGGCAATGCCGGTTGGTGACCAAGGGTCAGTGACCTAGTACTAGTAGGAGGCACCTCCTTGGGCTGTCGGAGATTTCCGACTTTTAAAGAAAAGTGCATACTTATTACAAATGCTATTTGTATCTGTGGAATTGAAGGTTATTTAATTTAAATGTTTTGCCTTTGTACTTTGTAGTCGAACACAACAAAGGCTTCAACAGTTGAAAAGTCTTCGAATCTAACGAAGTCTTCAATGACGGCAATTTGCGCTCTAGCAGTCCTGCGAATTATTAAAGAAAAATAGGAAGAAAGCAACATTTTGAGCAAAGTCATCTGACAAGACATATTGCTCCTTTAGAAACAATAACTTACATTGGAGGTGGAATGTTACAAAGCTTAAAGCTCGTGTATGCGTCATATGTGCGCCATGTAAAGTTACTTCCTTCAGACAGTGCCCCACATGCAACTCAGGTGAGACGAAAAAGAAAGGGGAATTGTGAAGAAATTACAACTGGTTACATTTTTTATCAAAAGAATGTAACGTTAGTGTAGGGTGTGATTTTCTAAAGGCATTATGTTAACGTTAACGTTAACGTTACTGTTTAACGGCCTTTAACGCCAAGTCCCTAAAATCCATGTCGGAACAGGAGTGCAGGAGTCCAGGCGGCAAGTGCATTGGTAAGCTATGTTTGACATCATTTTTATTTTATACCGCAAATTATAACATCGGGAACGGCTATTACAGGATGATGATAATAGAAATTTTTGCATCATCCCTTCAACAGTGCATTTTTTCTGTCATGTTATTGATAGGATTATCCTGTCAAATAGCCTCAGCCTCTTAATGTACGATGGCACTTATTTCACAGTACCAAAGAGATCAGAAGATGAAAAGGAATACACAAGGCAGAGTAAAACCGTATCGAAATGTTAGTATCTGAAGGCAAGGATGATCCTGGGCGCACTATAGCCTCCTTCGCAGTCTTGAGTCTTGAGAGAAGGAGCGCGAAACATTCTCTCCGTGGCAAAAGTCCCTCGGCAGCAAATCGTCCCTCGCGGCGGCATATTACTCGCGTCGCTCAGAGAAAAAAAATTACGCCCACACCCAACAAGACTGCGAAGGAGGCTAGGCGCACTACGACGTTGAGCGTTTCTCTGTCGTGAAAACTGAGTGCCGTAAAACGGGCGTGTACATAGAAGCCTTGTGGGATTTGATTTGGTCTGCGGTCTGCGCTTGTCAAATTTTCTGCTATAATTCCGCGATATCGGATCCGAAGATATGACACTATTTCACTTTGGGAACTGTGTGGCTCTTGCCTACGTGCCATACTTTCTCACGTACAAGTTTTCGGGATTGTGAGTATGATTTTATGCTTGACACATGAGGGAAAGGGGGAGGGGGGCAAATTTTAATCTTTTTCTCTGTGGGTTTTGACCTGATTTTGTGAGCTTTTGAAAACGTTGTGAGTAGTCAACTATACAGGCTATTGATACGTGCTCTTTTTCTATTTCCTGCAGGTCAGAATACAGCGCTTTTTGGAAATGTGTGCAGGCGGGAGGAGCATATCTGGCCACTCAGTTATGCAAGGTGAGGAAAAATGTCAACCATAAATATCATAATCTGGCTTTGTTGTGCAAATCATGTAAGAACTGATATCATCTGTAGACTTCCACAATGCAAGGATTTCAAATGTCTTAGGTATTATGCCATGAATGTATGCCATGTATTTTAAGTGATCTAACAAATTGCTGCCAGTCCTACTGTCCACACAATTTATGTGTATCATAACCTTCATATCATGACCACAATGTTACCTGCTGTCCCTGCAGATGTTGATCCTCGCCACCTTCTTCCCGGCATCAGAAACAGGCGGAGGGAATCTGGATGTGATCGGGGTAAGCTTTCCAAGGAAACAAATTATGCATAATGATGATGGACACATGTCACAGATTTACTCAACCCTAATGGTTCAGCAGGGCTCGTGACTGCGACTGATTTGGTCGCATATGCGCCCAAAATTTTGACAATGCGACTACATTTGAAATCACGGTCGCACGGTGCGCCGATAAAAATTTGAGCCTACATTGTAGATAACTAGCAGAACTAAGCCGTAAGCTGAAAATAAATTAACTCCACTGTTGTGTGATAGACCAAGGACATTATTGTGTTGACAGACCAAGGTCAGGACATTATTGTGGTCTTTGAGTTTGACAGACATAGAGCAAATTTATCCAGCCTGTGACACCACGGATGTTCAAATTTACCACGTGAAGATAGACAATGTTCTGATTCAGGACTTTTTCTGTGATGGTGGTGTGGACATTAGAACTGTTAAAGTTGACTAGAGAATTGAATTGAGCATAGGACTCGGATAGGAGTATCCTTGAAATGTTCAAGTAATGTCTGTTTCTTTGAATACCATTTCCTTTTTCTATTTGATCCAAGCTCCATGCAAGTGCCATGTTTTGTATCTGTAGGAATTCCTGAAGACCTCGGTGGACTTCGGTGACCTGATCGGGATCCAGCTGATCATGAGCAGCATCCCGGGGAAGGGGGAGATCAAGATCATGACGGCGGCGATGGGCTGGGCCACGGCGGAGCTGGTCATGACCCGCTTCATCCCCATGTGGGTCGGGGCGCGGGGGGTGGAGTTCGACTGGAAGTACATCCAGATGAGCCTGGAGTCCAACATCAACCTGGTAAGTGCGACATGGCGGAAGATGGCATACTTCTCAGAAGTCTGAAATCTATCATTTCTTATTTGATGTTTGCAGACTGCCTTGCAATGCTGACTCACCCAGTGCCAGTTGATGCTGACTTAGATTTTTACCACAAAATCATTGATAGTGCGTGAAGGTAAAAAGTTAAAAGTTAAGTTATGTTCTCTAATCATTCTTTTGTTCCTCAAAGAGGATATTCATCTAATGACACTTTTCCATATACAAGTAACCTGGTTACCAAACTTACTAATAGTTTAGCTCCATATTCTTTTATCTTCTGTGGAGAGGTTAAAAGACTCAGGAGCTGAAATAGCTTTGGTAACAAGCCTATTATAGTTATACAGGTTCTAACAAATGTTACCGTCTACTTACCAGTCTGTGTTCTCTTTCCATGTTACTGTCAGGTCCAGCACATAGCAGCTGCAGTCCTGGTGTGGCTGTGGAGCAGACATGACTTCAACCGTAGTCTGTTACCCGTTGTTGGCACCCTGCTTGGGCTGAGTGTGTACAGACCTCTTATTGTAGAGTAAGTATTATCTCTCTACAGTTGGGACATTTTTTACTACATTGTACCAGTATTTTTACCACTGAACAAAAGCATCCAACTAGACATTGCAATAGGTTGATGTGCATTGAGAATTTGGGAATAAAAAATAGCTAGTCAGAGGTAAGCCCTGTGACTTAACTCTAATCAATTCAGGATTTATAGCATATATTCTAATCTTATGTTCTGCTTATCATTACATCTTTAAATCAGTCCTGTTACCTACCGGTAATGACTTAGTTATAAGTTAACCAGCCTGATCGACATATTCTTCAGAAAGCAATGATGAAAATTTGTCCATACCAGAGTCATTCTAACTTCCTAACTTCTGTTTGTCTCTTTCCAGAATCTTGATCCATGCTGTTGGCCTTGGCTCCTGGACCCTCCTGCTGGCCAAAGCCTTGTTCACGGGAGCCGTTGGCTTAGTAACTCTTCAGTTGTATGTTGGACTGGTTCACAGTATCCCAAGCAACCACTATGACTGATGTACTGACGGCAGGGGCAGTTGTAATGTGTAATTTATACACTACTGGAATAATTCTAGATACCAGAAGATTACATATTCAGTTTGTACTGATCAAAGTTTGTTGTTAGTCTGTATTGGTAGTTGTGTCCCGTAATATTTTTAAAAATTGCAATTGCATGAAGTTGTATGTAATAGTACAAATGTAGTGTGTCCTGTCTAGTGGGTTGAGATAAAAGCAGCTGATCTGAAGGAGGAAGGAATTTATTGGAAAAAATTGGAATGTAATTTAATTTTACATATGATAATATTTGTTCGGCCAACATGTAAAAGGTGCAACATCATGTACAGGACATTATTTTATACAACATATAGCAGCTTATTATATGAAGTTGAATATGTCATTTTTTTTGTTAATTTGTATTGATAATCAACACTAACATTATGTACCAGATGTGTGTGAATGTATTTGAATTTTGTTACTCAAACTTTGTGGCCTTTTGTTGTTGTTGTTGTTCAAAGTATGGAAGGAACAGTTATCATTATTCTTGGCCAGTTTGTATGAGGAGGCTTCAAATACATATTACATGGTGTCAAATAAAGTTCAGAATCACGTCTGAATTAGAAGTGTTATTATGGGTTCACCACACCACGAAGTGGTGGTGAACCCATATTGCTTTTTCTGATGTTTCTCCTTCTCCTTCTCCTTCTCCTGCCATTTTTTAAATGGATTCAGCTTCTTCATTTTAGGGCCCAAGGTCCTGAAATTTGGTATGGAGGTACAGTGGGCAAATACCCCTAGGCGTTTTTTAAATTAATGTGATACAGGCTTTTAGAATGGTTTTATTTGAGTTTTTTGGCTGTGTTATAGCAAATGTATTACTGTGTTAGTGTGCCTTGTTTACCACGTTTGGGCATGAGTCATCACAATGGAATGCAGGGCATCAACCAATAGGCATGCAGCTTTCCTCTATTTCTTGCTGATTGGCTGTTGGGATTTAACTTGATTAACACCTGCACAGAGCATTTCCATACTGACAGTATGTCTGTATTCAAGTGTTTTGGTAGGTATTTCAAGCTTTCCTGCTCCAGCATTGGAATGCGGGGCATGGACGTTTTTTATTTTATTTTGAAAATCAACAGTTTGCATTATGCAATTAAAAATCCTAACCAATAAAGTAGGGAATAGCTATCCAACTGTTGTTTTAGTTGTATTTTACTTCATATTATAGTTATATCAATGTAAATCATTGTTTTCCCTTGTGTTTCTCATTCTTTCCCTGCCATGTCGTAAAATGTGGTGAACCCATCGCTGTATTTGCTCCAAAGCAAATATTGGCCTTTCTAGTTTTGTCTTGTATTCAGAATGTTACAATTTGCGGAGAGTATGTAGGACTGTATGTGTGTAGGAGCTATAATAGGTCCGGTAACCAGGCTAATTTTATGCTGGTATTACCTGCATTCATATTGCAGAAGTTGAGAAGTTTGATGCTCAAATGTGTCATTCACTCCAGAAGTTACCATTAGTTGTAAGTGAAAACAAACAAACCATTCATTTATATACATTATATTCCCTTATTTGCCATTACATTTGATTTACCGTTGTGGTAAAAATAGTAACAGCTGTAGCAACAAAGTTCTCCCCATGAATTGCAACATTGTTCTTCGACCAAAAAATAAATTACCATGAAGCACTGAGACACTCCACAATTAATGTTTGAGACTTTCATTAAGATTAACTGCCGTCTTGTGATACAATTTCTTATGTTTTTGACACATTACATGTACGAACCCCACCTCGCGTTGGCGCGCTTGACGTCATTTCAAAATGGCGCTATCTGATTGGGTCCCAAGACAAACATCTTTTATGCCTGTGTGTACCAAGATATTTGTGCCACGTAGTATATATCGTATCTTTACCACATATATGAACGTTTCTGTACATAAATGGCTATATTTTACCCATTGTTTGAATGTTCACGTCACTGTGAACAAAAGTGTGCACTTAACGATAACGTCACGATAACACGAGATTGACCCCAGGTCGAACCGCGGTCGCCATGACGTCACGTTATTGTGCGTTGTTTACCAGCGGTTCCTAGCAACTAACAGATCGGTGTTGGGGAATCGGAGAGAAGCAGTTCCAGTGGAATCAGGGAGCCATTTTGAGCGAAAAGCAAGGATTTCGACGTCCCTTGTTAATTTCGACGTGTCCAGGTCGATATTTTAGCTGTTTTAGAGGACGTACAACGGCATTCTGTGTATATCTAGGGCACAGACGCGCTGAAATAGCCGAGATTTCACCATGAGTACGAAGGGTTCCAAATCGGGAACTCCGGAGCCGCAGAATAATGCCAACCTTCAGCGCGAGATGGAGATCCAAAACGCCAAATCCTACATGCTCAAGGCGAGCACCAACACAGGACTCAACCTGTAAGTATACTGCTCAATCTGACATCTGGTTCTGTGTCTAGATATGTTTAGATGCAAGCCTAGAGAATAATTTACAAGAGAAAGCAAGGAAGCGCCCAGTGAGTGACCTCCTATTCTCACATGTAGTAACATAACAGGTGGTTGTAGTAACCACTGTTTAGTGGTGGGCTAAAATAGAAGAAATTGGCCAATTAGAGAGAATATTATGCCAGTGAACATGTGAACTCTATCCAGACAACTCCAGTGGTAAAATACTCTCCCTATTTGGCCCATGTCTGCTATTTTTCGGCCCATCAGGTGGCTGGAGGAAACCCTAGTGATGAATGTTTATAGTTTGAGTTCTTTGAGCACAACGTAAGGCTGATATTGTATTATTGTAATACATCTGAGATGTTACCACACATATGAGGCCATTTTAAATCATCAGTTCCTCAGTCCCTAAAATCCAACAAGACTACCCTTTTGTCAGTTGCTGCGAATTACATTGCAATTTTGATTTATTCCAGATATGACCATCTGAGTAGAGTTCTCACGAAGGTTCTAGACGAGAGACCAGATAATGTTGTTGGTGAGTAAACCTTTTGTGTTATCAATGTCTACAGATCTTTATACACATCACCATGAAAGATTTGTATCTGATGGTCACAGTACAACAAAGTAATGCAGCCATGGAGGTTTATGTCTACCAGACTCTCTCCAGTTTGATTGTATCCATAAACATCACCATTTATTTATGTTACTGAAGACATTTGTCTGTACCTACAGATATCATTGAAGACATCAGCAAAGAGGCAAAGAGGTCTAAGTTTGTGTACAAGGGAGACACAGTCAGAGATGAGTTTGACAAGACTACAGAGGTGGCACTGGCAGAGACACACAAAATGCTGTTTGAGGTACACACAATACTTTCTATTTTGCCAGGAATTTTAAATTGACTTGCTTTTTTGTCTCATGATCCTACTACTAGTCAGCAGTTTTCTGTTATAAAGATTTGATTTCTATCTGTGTAGAAGAAAAATCTTGACATCACATAAATGTTAATTGAGAAGAAAACACATCAGAAATTTTGTATTACCTCTGAAATAACTAAGGCTGTTCCCTCTGTCCTGTTTAGAAAGGAGAAGGTGAAGGTGGTGAGCCTGAGGCTGAGGAAGAAGTGGAGACCCCCCTTCCCAACATCATGGAGCTTTCATATTACTTTGAACAGGCTGGGGTGAGTACTACATGTAGTATTTGATTAGTTATTATGCTGCAATTTTTATTTCATTTTAATACAATAGATTGTATTTGCATCATTTGCATTTCCAAAGTTTGTAAGACAGAATAAATTTTACTTCAATACTAGTTTGCTATCAGAAAGCCTTGCTGAAACATCCATCCAGTAACTAATAATGTTCATGTTGATTGTGAGTATTCAAACTCGTGGCTCTTCTTCACAGATTGGCCTGAGCAGGGAGGAGTGCTTCCGCATCTTCCTGGCCCTGAAGCAGCTGGTGGACACCCGACCCCTGCAGACCGTCCGCTTCTGGGGAAAAGTGCTGGGCACGGAGATGAACTACATCGTGGCAGAGGTGGAGTACAGGGAGGGGGAGGAGGAGGAGGAAGAAGAAGAAGAGGTAGGGTGTTTCTCAATAACTGTGAACAATATTTGCTTTCTGTCATAATTACATGCAAAGTGTAAGAACATTTTGAGGAGATTTAAATGACATATCAATTGATTCTTATGCTCCTGTTTTTTAGGGAGAAGATAAGGATGAAGAGAAAGATGAAGAGCCACAAGATGAGGAAGGTGAGAGTTTCTCTATGACATGTAACTCAGCGCTCGACACTCAAATAATTACAAAAAGCAGCTAAGCATTGAAGTGTGAATTTTCTTTTATTTACTTTTTACTATTTATTTCATATTCACCACAAAACAAGGCTCATGAGAGCCACTCAAATTCTAGTGTGAATTCTAGTATTGATTTCCAAGTGCATATAGTTACATGTATGTCTTTTTCAGTGCTACATTATTACTCTGGACTATAATTTGAATGAAATGATACACGATGTAGAGCCTAACACTTGTTAGCTTCACATTCCTATCACAATACTGAGTGGTTCTCAAACTCTGCTTATTCCTCATACAGAGGGTGAAGGAGAGGAGGATGACATCCCCAAGCCTGACTACAAGCCCCCGCCTGTCATCCCTAAGGAGGAGAACAGGACAGGAGCCAACAAGAAAGTCTACTTCGTCTGCAATGAAGGTCAGTCCATACCTCATAGCACAGAGAGACCTTGCAATACTATACATGTGTACTTCATTTTCTGTGATACAAATATACTGTAGTAAAGGTACAACATGTATTTGAAGGATTGAGTTTAACCACATGTATTTTGTCCAGATTATCCAGAGTCAATGACATACACAGTTTAGGTAATACAGATGACAAGCTGTATCATATCTTTTAGTTAATAAGGCTGTTTGATTAATTTGGAAGGCACAGTGGTAGAGTTATAAGGTTATAAGTACAAATTCATATAGAATGTTGCTCAATTTTTTCACAGCTGGGAAAGAATGGGTGAAGCTCCCCCCAGTCACGCCAGCCCAGCTCGCTGTGGCCAGGAAGATCAAGAAGTTTCTGACTGGCAGATTAGAAGCACCTGTAAGTGGTCAAGGCTTTCCTTTGCATTCCTTTGTAGCTCTTGCATGATCTGATTTCACATGGTACACCAACAATGATATAATTCTTATGATATATTCAGGGAGATGGCAGTGGGCATGTCCATTCTGTAGTCTTTAATTCTTGTAGATCGTGATGACCACCTTGGTCAGGTGCGGTCAAAGTTGTGGAGATATTATCGATACAGCAAACCTCAGTCTAAGGGCCATCTAAAAACTTGGCACTTAGCTCATGAATCTTTAAACAGCAAGGAGCATGCCATCTGTCAAACCTAATCAATAAGTGAGAGGCTGGTACTGTATTACTATTAGGGAGTCCGTGCTCCCTACAAAGCTATGGGTTAGGTTGCAGACGCTTACTAAGTGTACTGTTAACTCTGGAAGTACTACATTTGGTTTGATACAATGTAGAAAAGGAGGCAAACTTGAAAATCTAATTGTTATCTTTTTGATTCCCAGATCATCAGCTACCCGCCATTCCCAGGCAACGAGGCCAACTACCTACGTGCTCAGATTGCACGTATCTCAGCCGGTACCCAGGTCAGCCCGCTGGGCTTCTTCCAGTTTGATGAGGAAGAGGAAGAGCAGGAGGAGGGAGAGGAGGGTAAGTTTCCTATACAGATATCTTCTAGAGCTCAGTACAGATTATTATGAATTTTTCAAGCAGGATGTTAATCAATAGCATAGTTTTTAGGACTTTACAACTTGGGGTGATGCTAGGAAACTGAATCCTTCATGTCCTTCTTTAGACTAAATCAAGTCTGTGTGCAAGTTGTACTTCACACATAAAGCTGGAAAGCTGAAAGTGCTAAAATATTTAACAAAGAAATTCAATTTTCACTCTAACTGCAAAACTTTTGGATCATTAACAGAAAGATTGGTACAAATGCTTGCAATCCAATTCATGTGCATAGTTACAGAATGTGACAATCATGGCGTGTCTTGAACCCCCACAGCCCGTGACACCTACGTGGAGAACCCAGACTTCGAGCCCGTGCCCGTGCGGGACCTGACGGACCCGTCCCTGGCCAACTGGGTGCACCACGTGCAGCACATCCTGCCGCAGGGCCGCTGCACCTGGTTCAACCCCGTCCAGAAGCAGGAGGATGAGTTTGAAGACGAGGAGGATGAGGAGGAGAAGGAGGAGCCTGATGAGCCGGAGCCTGAAGTCGGACCTCCCCTCCTCACACCTGTGTCTGAGGATGTTGGTGAGTGGTAGTTTGCTGAACACTTGCAGATAAAATTATCACATATACTTACTACTTAGCCCCATTACTAGGTTTATTATAACAGTTTGAATCCTATCTAGCTATAATACTTCTAAGCAGTAGGCAAGAAAGTGAGCAACAAGTTTTGGGGATGTGTTAGTCACAAGTGTCCAAGGTATATAAACATTTACGTGTATCGGATAAGAGAAGGATACTATGGAAGCGAACATAAATAGAGATCTATAATAGCCTTTCACCTGTCAGGCTAAAATACCCGAGTAATTAATTTTGTTGATCACAGAAACTTTGGTTCTGTTTATTCCAATGACTTAGCCTTTATCCAATTTCTTTTGACAGAAATCGACGGCATGCCCCCATGGACAGCCAAGGTCTCGTCTCACCTTGTGCCTCAGTACGCCGTTGCTGTTGTACGGTCTAACCTGTGGCCTGGATCAGTTGCCTTCTGCCATGGCAGGCAAGTATTTCCATATTCTCATGTTGTGGCATTCAAGTCTTACAATTAGAGATTTAGGCTGTATACAGAAGTCTAAGGTATGTTGATTTTCATGATTCTGTATCTGTATAGCAGGTATAACCGCCCTTCGGCGTAACACACCAGCTTCACAGGCACACTTAACCTTTGAACATTTATCTCTAAACATAGTTCAAAGCTATCTAGTGATGATGCCCATATTATACTTCGTGACAGCGAGTTCCACTCTGTGACTGATTTCTAACATTGTCAATTGTGTCACCTTACAGGAGGTTTGAGAACATCTACGTCGGCTGGGGCCACAAGTACGCCAGCGAGAACTACAGCCCCCCGCCACCTCCCCCAGTCCAGGAGGAGTTCCCCAGCGGACCGGAGATCACGGAGATCGACGACCCGACCGTGGAGGAGGAGGCAGCCCTGAAGGCAGCCAAGGAGGAGCATCTTGGAGAGGCTGAGGAGATGGAGGATGTGGAAGATGAGGATGAAGATGATGATTAGGGGACGAACCATGGGGTATCATAGGACAAGGGGGGCGATAGATTCTGATCACATTTTATGGGTCAAGTTTTTACCACATATTCTACCTTTCACCTTAAGCATGTTGATTTGTCCCCCACAGTGAAAAGGGTAACAAAAACATTCCCGTGCCTTTGATGAATTCTAGACAAGGCCTTAAATATATACTAGTAAGCAGATCATTCTTCTCATGTCAAGCAATAGTCCGATTCTCTGGCTATTTTAGGTCAGCAAGGAAGCCACCATTTTGTCAGGCTATGACATTGATGTAGATTTTAGTACTTTTATCAGATATGAAAATGTCCGGATACAGCCATGTCGACAAGGTGGGATTTTGTGTACATATATCTAGGATTGTTGACTCACTGTTTTGTACATATAGAGGTATATTGTGGTTGTAATGAATTCTGATTCAGGAGATGCCCTCAAAAATTTCTGATCCTCTTAGAACACTGTTTTTGCATTTATTTCCTCAATAAAATGTTGTGAAGTTAATCATATGGTGTTGTGTCCTAGTGGATTTACATTTTTTATCTCACCTACTGATCAAAGTGGAACTTCCAATACCAGGCCCTAGACACAGTGTTTACCAAGTCACTTACTGAAAAAAAAAAGGTCAGCAGAAATCTTTTCCAGTTTGGTTTTATTTCAGAGAAAGAAGACAAACCTGTGCCTGCTGTACATAGATATTAAATGTTTCAGTTTCAGTGTTCCTACATGTAACATACAAAGGACCATTGTGCTTTGACATATCCTTTAACAATAACACACCTTTTTCTAAAAAAAAAAGTCACTTGTTTTGAAATGAAAAGATTATAATGTCCCGAGGTTTCTACTCAGTCAGGACCTTTCCATGAACCCTGCATTATCTACAGCCATTCATTTACCATAAAAGTACTAAAACCTAAAACAAAAAGGCAGTAGTTCCATGACTAAAATGAAAACACAAAAAATTAGTCATAAACTTGTTTACCCTTGCAAGAACCAAAGTTACTTGGGCATTACTCTTGTCATAAAGCAGTGGTTACTTCCAAGTGTTCAAAAAGGTAAGACAATGCCGAGGAGCCTTTATTTTTGCCTCAAAACATACCATAAACTTTTAATCACTGATGCTTATTTTCATCTGCTGAGATACAGTTAATACGGTTAACTTATGCTACATGTGTGCCCTCCAGCCTAGTTACATCCTCCAACGTTCATTCCATGATCCTTCGTATCTGTTAAAAAGATTTGGTCCCACTCGTCTGACTGGTGGCATCCTAGATAAGATCAGCGACTGCAAACAAGATGGAAAGACATTATATTATACATTAAAAAATACTAGGTCATTAGAAATATGATGACTTTCAATCAGTAGTTAACCGAAAGAATGCGCTCAATTATGTTTTGATGCATACACTTTGAAACAAATATTAAACAGATTGATCTGGCAGTGAAGAACAGAATAAGTAATCAATTACAAGAAAATGTGTTTGAAACTGACCATTCATGGGCATCTCATCAATCTGTGTGCTGTAGTACTGCTCAATGTCTCTCAGGATCCTGATGTCGTCACTCTTCACAAAGTTGATGGCCACACCCTTACGGCCAAACCGACCCGAACGCCCGATTCTGAAATGACACAAACAGGTAAGACAAATCTATGGTAGCTATATCTGTCATACCTGTTTGGTAGCTGCAGTGGTATGACCGACTAGCATGAACATAGAACTACTACTGTATAACAGTTCTTCCCAAGGATTATTATCTTATTGATCATCTATGTGTCAAAAGAAGCACATACTGATGTCTAAACATCTCACGAAGGTTATAATACAAAATTAATTTGAAAGTGTAGAAGTCTGGGCAGTGTAACCTCACCTGTGGATGTACAACTCACGGTTGTTGGGCAGGTCATAGTTGATGATCAGGGACACCTGGGGCACATCGATACCTCGGGCCCAGACGTCAGTTGTGATCAGCACACGGCTGTGGGGTACAAAGGACACAATCTGTCAAACTACAGTTCACTATCTGCTCATTACGGTGAGAGAACAGATAAGATATCAACATGTACATGGAAAGTAGATGACAACTTCAACTTGTTGATGCTTGCCTACCTGGCACCTGATCTGAACTCCTTCATAATGGCATCCCTCTCCTTCTGTGGCATGTCTCCGTGCATGGACGACACGGTGAAGTTAGCCTCACGCATCTTCTCTGTCAACCAGTCAACCTGAAAACAGACAGAAGACAAGAACAGGATAGTAAGATTTGGAAAGTGACAGAGGCTTCTGGGCAACTGCTGCGGTTCGAGTGGATGAGTACAGCTGGTACTGAATAAGTTAAGATTGGAGATGGAGTTCTACAGAACATCAAAATATTTCTATTTGACTACTATTTACCAATATAGTAAACAGTATCCTTCTTTTTAGTTGTGCTACATCCTTCTAGAATAGCCGACAGTAAAATAGTACTAGATGGAAGCCTGTACCTTGCGTTTAGTGTTGCAGAAGATGACTGCCTGTGTGATGGTCAGGGTGTCGTACAGGTCACACAGGGTGTCAAACTTCCACTCTTCCCGCTCAACAGCCACAAAGAACTGCTTAATACCCTCCAGCGTCAACTCATCACTGAAGATTGAAAGTAATACATGTATGTGTCAGGATACATTAAAAAATGTTAACTGATTTACTCTGTTGATAAATGCTAAGGCTAAAAGTTTGTCAAAGAAGTTCAGTGGAGGTTATGTTGTCACCAGCAGGGTCTGCCCCGAAAGATGGTCAAACATCATCACTTCTTGTTTCCTCTGGTTCCTTAAGGGTGGAATTATCAATTACTGAAAATGGTGTGGAAAAAAGACTCTTTAACATTTTACTATTCACAGACTGTTTCGCCAGAAATTTCTAACATACCGCTTGACCAGAATGCGGATGGGGTCCGTCATGAACTTTGTTGTCATCTCCAGGATCTCGTGAGGGAGGGTGGCACTCAACAGAACCACCTGGGTGGCCGGGGGCAGGTAACGGTACACGTCGTAGATCTGCTCCTTAAAACCTGAACAGAAAGATGATGTTACTGTCTGTTAATACTTAACACTCTTTGTTAAATGAAATGTCACAGGATTGCTTATTGCCAATAGCATGCTCTTCACAAACTTACAACATGGTACCTTGAGGTGATTAAATTGAAATGAGATTCGTGTAAGGTCTCAATGTTTAGAGTTTGCCACAGAAGTTCAGTGAAGGTTATGTTATCACTAGCAGGGTCTGCCCCGAAAGATGGTCTCACCCTTGTTCAGCATCTCATCCGCCTCATCCAGCACCAACATCTTGATAGAGCGGGTACGCAGGTTCCGTCTTCGGATCATGTCTTAAGTACATGGTTAAGGACTACCAACAAACTAGAAACACTGCATGTCTGCAGCTTACCTCTAATACTGTATACATCATAATTAATTACATATACATTTAACGTACTGAATATTGAACGTTGCCAGTTTGCCAAAGAAGTTCAGTAAAGGTTATGTTGTCACCAGAAGAGTCAGCCCCGAAAGATGGTCAAACATCATCACTTCTTGGCAATACCTTTGGAGATTATGCAATGTATAAATCCTTTGTGAGGTTTCTACCTAAGGATGCTTCACTTCAAAAAGGATACCAAATACTCTGCCAGGAGTCCCAGACACAACATGCTGCCCATAGTCCAACTTGCGGATGTCCTCTCCAACATTAGTGCCACCAATACAGGAATGGCACTGGACACTCATGTAGTCACCCAGGGCTAAAATCACCTGAAGAAATTAAGAAATACCACTGTACCAGTTTTAGAAAAAAGATAGCTAACAAAGTAAAAGCAGCATAAAACAAGAGACCAATAACAGCAGTGATGAATATCAGTTACATCGGTCTTCTGCAATTTCTAGTGGGCTCATGCTACTACATTTGTACCATTATTACTTCTGCACTTCATGTAACAAAATCAAGTTTGATCAAGTTCAAGTACCTTTTGAATCTGTGTTGCCAGCTCTCTGGTGGGGGACAGGACCAAGGCCTGGACTTCTCGCATCTGCAGAAAGAGAAAAGTGGTGTCAAAATAGACTTCTGGTTTACCTGCCATTGCTCCAAGACAATGAGACCACTACCACCAAATGGAACTCCTACAATTTAGGGTTCTACTTCTTTTTATTGACAAGGCTTACCTGGATATCCAGACACTGGAGGATGGAAATGGAGAAAGTGGCTGTTTTCCCCACACCAGACTGGGCCCTGAAAAACAGAAATTAGGATGTCATGTATGACGTGCCTGGCCTATGACGACAGAAATTTGGGTATGTGAAAGAAGTTCAGTAAATGTTATGTTGTCACCAGCAGGGTCTGCCCCGAAAGATGGTCAAACATCATTACTTCTTAACAATTCCTTTATTCATATACACATAATACGGATGCCTGGCCAAATCGGGAACAAATTTTGTCTCTCGTCACTTGGCCAAGCCCAGTACGTGTATAATACACCAGTGGAGTGGATGAGATCGAAAGATTTAAACTCAACTAAGTCACAGCATCACTCTAGAATTAGAATAGTGATTATGATACATACTGTGCAATGACATCTCTTCCCTTCACGATAGGCTTGATAGCTCTCTGTTGGATTGCTGATGGTTTCTCAAAGCCTGTAAGAATATGAATAGATGTAAGAATGCATTAAGATTTACTGGTTGCAGCTGCTAGCAACTGTAATGAAGTATTGGGGTAGCATGACTCACACATCTTGTAACGCACCGTTTTGTAATACCTTCGCCTTTCTTTAAAAAAAAATGTTACATTTTTTTGCCAAGGACCTCCTAAATCTTGATGGACAAGATATCTACTGAGGAATGAAGTGTACTACACAGTACCAAAACAGGCATTATTTGCATCCGCACCAGAAATAACACTTTAAAAGCATTCTATAGCAGTCACAGTGCGCCATTGAAGTGCAAGTATAGTAGAAATTTATTTGTTTCGCGATGATATAACACTAACAGACAAAGCGTGACCACGCTATCGTCTTTACACACAAGCACATGTCCGCATTTTCAAAGCGTCCGTATGGGATTAATACGCACCGTAAGCGTAAATGCCTCGCAGGAGATCTTCCCTGAGACCCATAGAGTCGAAGGTTGGTGTAACTTCGACATCTTCGCTCGTTTCGAACTCGATAGTGCTGGTATCCACTCCCTCGGTCACCACAGTGCGTCGTCGACCCGCCATTTTGTCGGATGTGAGCAAGCGATGCTTGGTGGAGAATGTGAAACGCACTGTGATTGGTCGACTTCCTGCATAATTTTAGTAACTGACCAATCGAATATTTCGACACAGAATGCGGCTTACACCGTATTATGGGTACATCGTCATTATTCGATCTTTTCAATACAACAAGTTTTATCGCAACACCATCCAGCATATATCAAGCAACTCATATCAAAAATGCAAAAAATCCTTGAATTGTATCGTAATCTGTGCACACAAAAAATTAAAGGCTTGGGGTTTAATAGGTCAAAGGTCAAAGAGAAGCTGGTTTGAGGTCTGGAGAGGTAGGAGTTGGGAAAATTATGTGCTGGTATTTTGTCCAGTTTTTCGCCGAAAGAAGCCCATGAAACGTAACTCTATTTTTAAAATATGTTACAATCGAGGGACCGTTGTGGCTTTCGTTGTGTTACTTCCTTTAATGCACAAATTATATGTACAGAATAAGGTAAGAAATGATAGTGATTCACTTCAAATTTTTGTACACGTGGCCACCATGAGAGTACTCAAACTGCTATGCTGAAAGGATTATCTGTGAATATGATATGCAAAGGAATTGCCAAGAAGTGATGATGTTTGACCATCTTTCGGGGCAGACCCTGCTGGTGAAAACATAACCTTTACTGAACTTCTGGGGCAAAAATTTAGCTTCATAAATTAAACAAATAACGTTACATGTAGTAAGATCAAACTAAGATCATTAAATGTCCTTGGTTAGATCAAGGAGGTTCATTTAACCACACAGGAGCAAGCCATGACACAGGAGGCCAGGTTCGCAGGCGGACACCAGGACAGTGTGCTGTGCCTGGCCTGCAGTGTGGACGGTGTACTGGCTAGTGGTGGGGAGAGTGGAGAGCTCTGCCTCTGGTCAGTCGAGAAGCCGGGTCTTCTGCGCCAAGTCTCGGGGCTTTCGGATGCTGATGTCACCTCAGTCTGCTTCTCGGTGAAGCAGCCTCATGTGCTGTGTGCAGCGGTGGGGGAGTCTGTACTCCTTTTCGACTCCAGGGATGTGTCAGAGCCAGTCCACCAGTTCAAATTCAACTCCGAGGAAATTAACCAAGTCACCTTGAATGAAAAAGAGAACTTTCTGGCTGCCTGTGACGACTCTGGTGAAATTAAGATTATAGACTTTGAAGGGAGAAAGTTGTTCAAGACATTACGTGGCCATGAAAATATCTGCTCGAGTGCAAAATTTTGCCCCAAGAAAACGTGGGGAATGGTGTCCGGGGGACTGGACCAAAATGTCATACTGTGGGACTTCTCAAGGGGGAAGAAGTTGAAGATCTGTAACATGCAAGACTTTGTCTCAGAAGATGGGCCAGTTAGTGCTTACATGTTCAATCCTCCCTTAGTTCACTCTGTTGATATATCGGGACAGACATTTGCCTGTGGCCTGGGGAACTCGGTCATTCAGACATTCAGACTTGAGGGAAAGAAGTCGTTTAGACACACAGGGACACTAGAGGGACATTCACAAGGAGTTTCCCAAGTTCACTTCCCACAGTTCCAGGCAGAAGATGCTCTAGTATCTGCAGGCAATGATGGGAAAATAATTGTATGGGATCTTGCAAGCAATTTGGAATCACATGCTGCAAGTTCTAGCAAGAAGACAGTTGAAGATGAAGGGGCAGTTGGAAGTGCAGAGTCAGTAAAAAGCCACATTGTTCAAAGCATAGACCACGGTTCGAAAATTAACTGGTTAGCTTCAGGTTGTGTTCAAGAGAAGAGGCTACTTTTTGTTGCAGATGTTTCGCCTGTAGTTACGGCATATTCGCTAGGGGAAGATGATGGAAAAGGAAATGTCTGAACATCAGTGATAGTCATTTGTTTGCTTACTTCATTCGCAATCATTGAAGACAGTGTATCTCATTGAGGAAAGTCATTTGGCTTGCTGCAAAACTGAAGTATGATTGCAGAGAATGACATGTTCAGTCTTGCTGCTGCATTGGATCATCATTACCATGGATACCTGTGCTGCTAAAAGTGAACTATAAGGTTTGTCCTTCTTCAAAATGAAGAATGCTTAGCCTCTTTAACTTTTCTCTACATTGATCAATTAATAGCAGCATTTTTGTGAAAGTGGCATGAGTACACGATTCTATGTTAATAATAATATGCAATAGTTGTACATATTTGATTAATTACCTTTCAGAATTTGATATGGTTAGACTAAAAATGGAATGAATAAAATGCAGTGATGATGAGAAGTGAACTCATACTGGCACCATGAGCCACTGGTGAACCATGCATGTACCACTACCTGAGCTACAACTCTAATTTCATTTCTCAACTCAGATTCTTCAGAAGAAGTGTGTTTGTACTCAGCATGTAGAAAATGTATTCACTAGTTCTTTGTTCCATGGTTCCTACCCCCCAGAACTACACACACAATGTACAGCATGGAAGAAAGAAGCTTGGACGGCTGATGCAAATGGTGGATCTTGCCCTACAATACTTCAGAATGGTATGATAAAGTAATTTAGTGTACCAAACTTTGATAAGGCTAGCTTCAATGTGTGATGCATTATGGCTTCAGAAGGACTACAATGTATGTGGTAAATTTCATTACTAACTGTGGAAGGTGTATGAGGCTCTCATCTGTTGACAGTGATGACGTAGTAGTCTGAGACAGTTCAGCTGTTGTGCGGAGAACATGTCCCTCTAATCTGATGTCAGCAGTTGAGATGCTACCGGTAAAAGTACAGTTCAGATTTCACACCCATTGTAAGCACCCTTCTTTTAAAGATTGGAAATATATCAAAGTAATGTTGAAAGTCATGTAATTTGGCTCTTGTTTACACCATTAAAATTGTCTTCTGTGCTTCCATCTTTTTGCAGTTATGAAACGGGGCCTCCAGATGATACACAACTGTCTTGCATCCAATAACTGGTGATGAAGCCAGCAACATTCAAGCCAGCATCTGCCCAGATTTCAGGTACATGACCAATCTGCTGTCCTGTTGTTTTTTTGGTTGTGCACTTGACTGTCTGTGGCGATGAGGATAACAATTGAAAAGACCTACAACAAATGGTTTTCTTTATACGCTATACTGAGCCACAGGCATGACAGTGTTGTGTGCAAAAAGTGCCACCTTATCATTTCAATGAGAACTGCAGTTACATTGTAAACAAAGGGACTTTCAGTATTGGTTTTACACACATTCGTCTGCATCTGCTTCAGTTTTTAGTACCATCAGTTTATTACCTGCCTGGTAGTAAATAATTTATGCCCAGATATTAAAATAATTTATGCCCAGATATTAAAAACTGATTATTTCATTTTGCACAGGTGAGGACAGACATTGGTGTTGCTACCATGCACTTGGAAAGTGTGCAAGTTCTCATTCAAGGTCTGATGCTCCAGCTTGATTGGTAAACACGTCATTCAAGGATATGATGCTGAGAATTAAATTTTCACTTAATGATCTTTACTGTGCGTTCTTGTACTGAGTTCTTTAAGTGTGTCCGAATATGGTGGGAGTATCTATGCTAAGAGTGTAACATTGTAATGTATGATGCTGATAATAGACATGGTCTTTACATCTCAGTCTGCACCAAACATGAAACCATATCCTGGTATCCATCCCTACCTTAGCTCTGCACTGGTCCAACTCTGGCTGAGTAAAATTGCACTCAGTGGCCCACCACACCAGATTTTCAGGCTCTTGTCCCTTTAATACTGTAAGATATTGTTCATGTATTATGTACCACAGGCTAGCTTGTATGTATTTACTTATGGAGAAGTTGTGTCTGAAAGGCCTACTTTTCAACTGTAGTGTCTGACAGCAGGAGACAATGATTAACACAAAAGTCAAACTTTGAACCAAACATTTTTATGAACTTGCACTTTTTTTCCACAGATTACAAAACATCAAAAAGTGTAGAAACAATTCCTATGCTATGACAGTACACGTAGTCTTCACTGTCAGTTATAATATGGTAAGATTCGTAGTCGTCTTACTGCTCTACTATATCTTATTCATATGACTGTGATTAGACCATGACCACATCTAACTGTGTATCTAATACATGTATTTGGCTTTTTATACTGACAGTCAATGCAAGATTACTGTACAGCGAAACCAAGAAACAAAAAAATGCATTAGCAGATTATAAAGTGCTACAATGGCTGTGAAATATTTTCAGCTCAACTTGCATTTAAGAACAACTGGTTTTGTTTCATTAGTATTATTATGAAGTAGGTTCACCAGGAACCTTGAACACAATTTTTGATACATATGAAAAAGACTCATTATATGTATGGTTATGGTTGAACCACAGACATTATGATGGAACATTAAAAATTTTTCTCTTTTGTGAGAAGAATTGTTTACATCCTTTATTTACCATTACATATAGGTTTCACTGTTCAGTACTGCTTGTTCTTGTGATCATTTACATCCTTGGCAGTGCACACAGAACATGTTTTAATGAAATGGTACAGCATAATCTGATGAACTGAACATCACACTTTGTTTGGCTGTTCACATGGGCCTTAACATACATAGAACAAATTAACATCAAACATAATACAATGCTTGACACATGCTAACCAAGGGAAGGTATTTTTCTTGAGCAAAAGAACATCCATAAGTCTAGAGTAAATAATGTTTACACACAAAGTTAGGACAAAGCAATACCAGCTGTTTCTGTCTATGGTACATTCACAAGTGTTCCAGTATGTCATTTTCATAGTCATAGTTTTACTCTTATCTAAAACATCTTTGTTTTGGTGACACACATTTTTGAAAAGTCTAATGTTGTGTTGATTACAAGGTTCTCATTTAGGTAATCTTGGTCTTTCCTGACAACCAACAGACGTGGATTATTTTGAGCCTCAGAAGTCAGTCCCACAACACACTATTATTCCTGGATATTCATTTATCTGAAGAATCTTGCAAGATTTCTTTTGACTGGAACATACTTACTCCTAGTGGCCCTCAGACTGCCCTCCTCTTTGGGAGCCTATCGATATTACTACCTGAACAGCATGAATTTGTACTGTACTAGCAAAAAGTTACATCATCTCTAGATATAGCTCAAACTCCAGGGATTACTAGACATCAAACTTTCTCTTAAAATTCTGGTTAGTTAGTACTCTTTACCTACAACCTATTTACAGAAATACAATCTTCTCCAGATCATACTTTATAGCGCTAACATCTATCTTGGCACTCTGGAGGCCACAGAACAAAGTGAACAGTAGCTAGGGGTGCAGCTTCACATTGTAAAGCCTCTTGCCCATATGCAACAGTTATACAGCTCCATACTATCCCAGTATACATGCAATATTTACATGTTTTATACATCTACATCATAGTTCCTTATTCTTCCTTAATCTGCCATATTACATTTGCGAAAACTTCCCTATGCGTTCCAAGAAGAACATCCCAAAACCCTTAAATGTCTCGGTAGCATCTACATTTTAGTTCCCAGATTCGAAAGCCAGACCATCCAAAAAAAACTGTCTTTCCGAGTGTACTACACCATACTGTGTACATAGCTGCACTGCGTATACTTTTATTTAGTGTGGCAGGTATTGAACAACAGGTGCGTACGTGTAATGCCAATGGCACATTCAAATGACAGGTTCTAATATTAGCACCCTTGAACAGTTTATTTCCGATAACAGATGTTCCCCACAGGCAAGGACACTTCTGTGAACGTGACATTTTTTTTTGCAGGGCTGCAAACACGTATGCAGAGGAGGTAACGTTACAGCAAGAGAAAATTGCTGGTAGATTTGGCACCATGTCCATAAGGGCTATGCAATTTTATGGTGTGGCCTTTTTTTTCTATTAATCCTTCTTTCATTGATTTTTCGGTCTCCTCTTTACCCTGAAATGACACCTCCACCTGATGGGGATGTTACGCACGAAATCCCACAATTTCTTGCTGATGGCAAATCAGCACCATGAACATAACCTATGGAATAACAAATACATGCAATGTGATTGCTGGTGTGAGAAGTATGACTTGGCCAATGCCAATGGATATTCTGTCTCGGGTGAAAGTGCTATCATGGGTCAGAAAGTTCGAACTGGGTTGAATTGATAGAATCCGACAGTGTCCTGGTTGCCTGAGAAGTACAGTACTCACTTCAGTAGTAAGTCACACTGCATGAGATATTGTTGTGGTCTTGGAAAAGCCAATAAATATTCTATTCTTAAAGGATAGGTCAAATTGCACAAACATACTTAGTACTTGGTGAGAAGTTTGTGTATCAGATGTTGTGATGTATCCTGAACAAGCTTCAAACAGCCCCACCATCGTATGTCATTGTAACACATACAATGTAGAAGTGCCTCTTTCTTTCAGGTAGTCACAACATTGGTGTTCATCAGTGGTCAAACTTAAGGCTTTTGAAAAGAAACTGGTCTTTTATTTTAAAAAAAAATCGACATTCTTGGTAATGTACCTGACAAAACCCATCTTTCTCCGAGACTAAATACATGTATAACTGAACCACCAAAATAACACCTATATAATATAGATTAAAAGTTAAATCTTGATTAACAAGTAGAATGTGTCTTGGTACTGACAAACTTGCAACATGATACAGTTTAACACGGAACCACATTATCACTGAGAAAATAAACCACAGGTCCTATCAAACACTTCAGGTTCTTGACATTTTGTGAACAATATCTTAGAACAGACTGGATAAAACAAATAAATAGACCATCATTCTGGTGTTCTGTAGTGTCACTAAAATATCTCATTACAAGCACACAGAAATCTTGTTTAGTCAAAAGATAAAGCTGGTTGTTTTCTTGGAACACGAGATCAACCTGAGTTACCAGAAGTGCAGACAGTAGTGATGCCACTGTTGTTAAAAAGTGTTAAATGTGTAGATCAGAGAAGTTCAGGTCGGCGACATAAACAACCAATGCTTCCATCGGCACTGGTTTTATTCCCCGTCTATGGAGTCGTGGTCCGGGAGTTCCAGTCCGGTGTGGACCGTCATTTGTACGTTTCTGTTCAGACTGATGGCGGGGAAGAAGACGCCGTGGAGGTCTCGGAAAGCGATGGGGCCTTGCATGCAGTCGTTGACGTAGAAGCTGAGCGTGTGCTCCTCCAGGTTGAGCAGCACCCCGATGACCGACCCCTTGTCTAGGCCGCCTTCAGTCCTGTTGGAGTGGGCATTGTTGTGCATGAACCAACTGCGGTTGCTGTCTATGTACATGGCCCAGGCCTTGTCGTCCTTCCCCAGCATGGTATCTTTTAATGTGTCAATCCTGGCTACACCGAAAGCTGGGTCAGGGTGGTTGTCGTAGCGGTCTATAGTGCATTCCCAGTAGTGGATGCCTTTTGAGAAGCCGACATTGCCCAGGACCACACGGTCATCATAGCTGTTACAAGTTACAGTCATGTTGTCGTTACTGAGCACAATGTCGGGATGTGCTGTGCTGGGATCCAGCGCAAACCATGCCACTGTTTGGGCAGAAAAAAAGCAACGGGGTCTACTAGGTATGCTACATCAAAAAAATAAGGTGATGGTCACTGCATGAAGGTCATTTGCAATAAAGGCTGTGGCTATTAATGGGGCTGTGTTGCCAATATCATAAATGTCTTGATTTTTACTTTTACTGGCTTTGCATGGTTTGCCTTCTGAATGTCTTACTGGCAAAGGTGTTAGTAATTAAATACACTTAAAGCAAAAAAGAGACAAGGAGAAAAAAGTTGTACCCTCAGTCCCGGCACAGAAAGTATACGTTACCTTCAGCTGTGTGAAGCTGAACTGAGTCACTGTAAGGTCCCTCCCCAGCTTTGTTGAAGGCTTTGACACGGACTCTGTATGTGCAGTCAAAGTGTAGACCATCCAGGGTGCACAGGGTCTCCCTGCCTACATACACCTCCTGTAGATAGACAGACATCCGAAAATAGTTTCACCAGGTTGGTTAAGTATAGGACACAGGTCAGCACTCTAGGTGAGAAAAATTGGTTGTGTAAAAAAAACTCCTATGTCAGATAGTTTTACTTTCAACACAGCGACACAGAAACAACTTTCAACAGTCTGCTAAACTGATTCCTCTGCAGATGGCTGCACTTTTATAGCATGAAGCTTATGCCAAAGTTTATGAACAGGGAGTTTCCCCTACTGTCAGCATTTATTGAATCTGGAGAATCAGCCCTAAGGTACTCCTGGCTCACTTGTGAAGTTTTTATGGCCTAGTGTAATGTCAGCTTGGCAACCAAGGTGTCTTTCGTGTAAGCCGGATGTTTGAGGGCATTGGCGGGTTAGTATTTTGTAACAGATAAGACAAGATGACATCTTGCTTCATTGTAAATTTAATCTCTTTCCACTGTCTTCTTCAAATGCTATCTCAAAAACGCCTTTTTCGAACACCGTTAGGAAAATGATTACATCCGCACATTTCGATCTTTCATTGATTTATTCCCTGGTCGCAAATCCTGTCTTACTACCATACTGTTGTATATTGAGCCAGGCTCTCAATTATTCAAACATTAAGTAGCCAAGGATGGACAAAAGGGCAGATGAAAATGTTTGAGGGATAAGATAAGATGAAACCCATTTTTATTGATCTACTACATTACAATATCCCATAATATACAGTTGGGACAAACGTGAAGTGTGAATATGAAAAGTTTTCAAAGTGTATCTTCTAGGTTAACCTCTAGGTATCAATGCATATTACTACCAAGAGTGCAATCTTGTGCTCTAAACATTATGCACACATTCCTTGCTACAGACATCTGGGATACAGTTTGAGACCTAAGGCCAACTGTGTCCCAGATGTCTATAGCAAGGGATACATATTTGTGCATAATGTATGAGATACAACACTGTACTTGTGATGATATGCCTTTGGCACATGTCAGGCACGATCAGTTACAACACTGCATCTCAAGCAAGTGTAATTTCTCCAGGGTTTGATCCTACATGACTTCATCATGCAAGGTCAATAGCCCATGGTCTTATAAAGCATCCGCATGGAAATAGAGACCATCATCTTAAGCTGTTAGAGCCCATAAACTCCTGAATTCGAAACCGTTACTGTGAATCGATGAACAGTCGAGCAACATGAAACATTTACAAGACGTTACTGCACCGAGTGATGCCTTAAAGCAGTAATTTAAGACTGTGCTTCTGAGCCTTTCGCACCTACTTAGACAGTGGTAATGTTCCCAGAGGGCCGCATCGATCGTTTCTTTTGTACCATTCCTTCTCGTTTCCTTGAAAAGGTCACTGAAGATGGTGACAGGGGTGTCTTAAAGGGCATCAATTACCATGCTTCCACTTCTAAAGTATGATCTTTTAACGACATTAAACACAGCAAAGGTGCAATTTCCTTTGTTAATGCTACATACAAACCACAACGTCCGTGTCAAATAGAATTTGGTTTAAAGGCAAATAGGAAAAGACCGTGTTAATATTCAGTTGACACAATTCAAGGCCAACAGTATGCAAGTAAGTGTTTTGGACTAAGTCTATGTTGAAAGAGATCCTACAGACTGTGCTGCCATTAAAATATACTTATTAAACCATCTTTACATGTCTTCTTATACAGCAGAAGTTTTTTGCTCAGTGAAATGGATTACTAGTATAACACTAACAGACATGCCAGACATCTTTTCTGTTGCTTTGAACCTGAAGGCCACGAATTCCCCCTTCCATTTCTTGCAGCAGCAAAGTTAGGTTGACAACGCGGCAAGACAGATAACTACATAATATTTCTCCCTCAAGTTCACTGCCAAGGCTAGAGCTGACCACCAACCCAATTTGCACCAGCAGTAAAGGAATGAAACTCATCACAAGGAATGTGAAGTACGTACCGCGGGACGTGCCTTTGCGCTGACATGGTCTTTACGTTTAGCCATACAGCCAAATTGGGGCTGTGCCCTCTACAGGTCTAATCTTACTCAAGGTTAATAGGACTACCACCTAAGAGGATTGATGCTGTCCAGAAGTGGACATCATACACACACGCACAAGAACTTAATCTGAATCAAAGTCCCCAATCCTTCAGAAATTGTGCATTTCTTACTTAAGGTGAAATTGGATAGTCGACAAGATTATTACAGGCTCTGCTTTATATACATGTAATACATAACATTGTATAAGATACAGAATTATATATGGATTCAAGGGATTGGAGTATGTAAATTTTAAGATACTCTAAGGCCACACCAATCTAATTTCTTGGTTAACGGATTCGCCGCTTCATTTTTTTCTGATTTGCAAATAAAAATAAAAATTCAGAATCAACTGCAAAATGCTCATATTTTGCCCTGAACAGTTGAAAACAGTCCTTTTCTTACTACTTGTTATAGTCATTCCATCTTTCAATGCAGTAGTATCATTAAAAGTTCAAAATTCATTGTTTAAATTTTGAACCAGCCTGGTGTGTTGACTTCATGGCTCCTATCGTACCATTTTGGGCCATAATAGGATGCCTAGGCCTGTTTTTATTTTTATTTTTTTTTCGCCCGCCCGCTCCATTATTTTGCTAGAAAAATCCGTTAACCAAGAAATTAAATTGGTGTGGCCTAATACCCTAAAAAAAGTCAGGATTTTTAAACTTTGATCCATATCACTTAAGATCAATTACCCTAACACACTAACAACATCTTGATTGGAATCTCAGTTAATAAAGACTCTGATTAGTATCTCTACCCTGACATACAATGTATAATTATTATATGTAACCCGGTGAATAAGTGTTAATGGAGTCTAGATAAAGTGAAAATTCTTGCTTACTCTGAACGGCCCCTGGTTCCCGTCGTCCAGCTCCAGAACGTAGCCGTCGACCCAGCTGCGCGGGGACGGCTGCCATGACACCGTGATGCTGTTGTTCTGCACGGTGCATTCCTCATGCAGGAAGATGGGAGGGCCGGGGACTGTGACAACACGTGCAGAGCCTAGTCAATAACGTTCACACACGACGGACGAGAGACGGCGCACCACCGACCGACCGAACCACCAACGGACCACACCCGCAGGAAAGGTTGCAGCAGAAGTGTCACCAAATGCACCACGCCCACCACAGAGGTCGAAGCAACAAACCAGATACATACCATGCCCAGATGACACCACAAGAAGCCAGAACAGAGTGCACAGGAGAAAGGAAGAGAGACCAAAACGATGTGATGTTAGTAGGACAGTTCTTCTTCCCGAAAAAACAAAAGGCTCTGTCTCCCCAACATGGATATTTCCACAGTGAAAAAAGCTAAATATGGTATTAGTGTAACTGTTTACCCTGTCTTGGAATATTTTTGCAAGGAGTCACTTTTATGACAAACTTTGGGTCAGATAGCTGAGGAAGACTGAGTGATTTGGTCGAAAATTTCTGGTGAGTCAAATTTTGAGTTGGAGAAAAGTTTAAGTTTGTCATAATGTAATTTACCAACTCAGATGAACTTTCATGCTGAAGGAGTCACTTCTGTTGTGGTTGGAGTATGTTGTGCATCTACCATATGTATTAAATGGTTTAGACAAGCCAGAGGTGGAAAACTTTGCTCTTCTTGCATTGAACGACCCCTTAAGAAAATGAACTTCTATCAAAGAAGGCCATGTTGGGGGAACTAAGAGCCACATGTTCTGGGTAGCCAATTAACATGGGTTAGTCACAACAGTGTGGAAAACACCTCAAGCTTTAGACAGAAGCAGACATGCTGACAGACATGATAATAACTACAAACATGCATACAAATGAAACCTGTCTGCCACAAGTTGTACAACTCCAGCATTAGTGCTCTGTATATAATAGCTCATTCCCATACACATGCTAGTCAATTTGTAACTACCTAGGACTGGTTATGAGAATAACCAAGAATATCAGTAAGTGTTTTTTTATAATACAACCAAAGACAGCATGCAATACTGCAGACATATGTAATCCTCATTTATTGCTTAAGTAACAAATGAGTACTCTTACTGATTAAAACAAAGTTGCAAAAACTGAAACTCATTAGAAATTCAAGTGCATGGCAGTTAGACTATCGGATGTCTTGTATGCAATGATATTACACAATCTTATTTACAGCGACACACAGTTGTTGTACTTACCTTTAGTGTGTACAAAGCTGAGCTGTTCGATGGCCTTGAAGAGCGGCTGGCTGTTCAGCTGCAGTTCGAACTCCGGAGGCTCGTGGGGCTCCAGGAGAACTTCCTTCTGCCACTGCATCTCAGCACTGCACACTCTCTTTATCAGACCATTCGCAACCTGGGAGTGAAGCGGGGAAAAATAAGCCTCCACTAGGCCTTTGTACCGGGGTATGGGACTTAGAATTCTGCAAGTTAGAGGGAAATAATAGGCCAGGAAGTTACATTTCAATCTCTGGTGCAGCCAGTCAACCCTTTTGGTAGCCAAACGCCCCTGGCAAATTATTATCCCTATACGCCAGCATAGACAGTCTGGTAAAGACTAGAAATAACTGACTTGAAACAACTACCGGTACATCTTACAAACCAGCTTGGAAAGGATCTTCAAAAAATTATGGCTGTCACTAATCGTCTCCTGTGCTGGGTAGATGATTATGCCATCCTGGTTACTTTAATACTTTACCAGAACTGTGGGTCTAATTATTGTTGTGATCAAAATCCATACTTGCAGTATGAGTAATAATCTTCACCTTGCAGAATGCATTGAACATGCCTGCACAATCCCTGAGCTACTTTGACTGATGAATCTGTGATTTTCCTTTTACTTTTTGGATCCTTGCCCTGCTGCTGCTGTTATCAATCCCAAAGCAGGGGGGCAAGATGTCAATGCTGTGCTATGAATTCCAAACGAGGGATAAGTCAGAAACACAATATTCTGCAGAAGGCTATTACGGCATTGCCAAGGTCTGAAACAAATTGTGCTTTTCTCTCTAAGCGTCACTCTGACTCCCCACTGCTTTTAGAGGAGGCTGCTTTATTACATGCTGGTAGTTCTTAATGGTTATGTTCTTTGATGGGTATTTATAATGGCGTCATTGGAATGTAGCACCATGTAGGATGCCTACAGTTGTCCCATCTTTTATTCCGTGTCATCTACAATCCATAGGTGTTTTGTATTATGTACAGCCATGCCCTGTGGAGAGACAATTTTCCAAAGCCTTGTACATCGATCCAGGGCGCATCTATTTTGCAACGACAAAAACTCAAGATTCTGAGCACAGCTTCCCTCACATCTCCACAGCATTCCATTACAGGCAGACGTGACAGGTGTCCCAGGAAAGTAGTGCAACCATCTCAGTAAGCTCTCATCACTTGCCACTCCTTGAACATGCCCTCTGAATTCTAAGCAAATGGTTTTTGAATCAATATTTACACATTCAGAAGATAAGCTTGCTACTGGTCCTAAAGCTAAAATGTGAAACTGCGAAAAAAAAATCATTCATCCATCACCATTGTAATAGGTCTTTGTTTTGTTGTTGTTGTTGTTGATCTGAGTTTTGTTCACATGTAGTTTTACAACAGTTAGAGTACATGTAAATGAATCTAAAAGTTCAGTAAAGACCTAAGGTGTGGTAAGCACAAAAAGTCGACAATGTGATGCTTATTGGAAATCTTACTCATGGAATAAAACTCAGCCATGACAGGTGTATTTTTGACAAAATATATTGATTTTCCACGACCATATCATGTCTGTTTATCTTTATCTAAAAGTCTACTGGACAGGTCCCTGTTTCTTCTTCTTGCAGATCCAATTAACCATGCACCTGCAAACCTCACTCTTATCAGAGTTCATCTATACACATGCCTGTGCCTCCCTGTTGGCATTTTCCCCAGGTCTCTTGGTTAGATCTTATCCCTTCATCTCATCACCAATCACTTGGTAAAATCTCATCTTCTACTACTTTCATTCCCACAAACCTTAGCAGTGCAATGCATCATCTCTATAGATCCGACAGTCTGCATTAATAGTGTCTACAGTATGGTAGAGCCTTCTTTGGGAAAAATGAAGACATATGGAGTGTACGCTGCACTAATTTACTGAAACTACCAGGGTTATTTATCATTCTCACTCCCTAAGATATTACCTGTCTGGTGTTGGTTATTGAGATGTCATTCATACCAGGTGAACCCACCATTACAGGCCCCAGAATAGCCTACCCTGAAGAATGTGCATCGATTGCTTACAAGGCAATGCCAAGGCTCACCAAACCAATCATGAACCTGGCACCTTACAGAGCCGGCCTGCATTACAGGGACTATTGCACAATTCTTCACCTGCCTTCTCACCTTCTCTAATGTTATTTGGTATGGCTGCTGTCTGCTATTATTACATGTACTTGTCTAGCTAGTCAGAGAAGGTTATTGAATAAACAATCCAATTTTACAAGTCTAACAATGATAGAATTTTTTTATTTCAATTTGCATTGCAAAGTGGAATTAATTCAAACTCCTGTTGACCTATTATGAGGTCAATCCAAGTTTACATCTGGGGAAAAATCTACAAATCGTATTTTATTGTTTTCCTTGGAACTTACCATAGGGTTAAAGTATGTACCTTTATCAAGAGAAATGAGATATATTATTATCTTATGTGACTTTCAGTCTATTTTCTGTTATCCTGTGATTAAAATTGTCACACTATGAAGTATATCTGCGAACTAAAAAAAGAGTCTGGCTACGAACACAATTGTTATCCTTCAAAGTAATAGTGTGGTAACAACTACCAGTAAAAACATTGATAACACTGAGCAAAGTTTGTACCTGAAGGAAGGCTGCAGCATCCTCCTCCTTCATGATCTCCAGTGCGTACTCCAGCAACCCGGTTGTCTGTCTCAGCTTGTTGGTCAGGTCATTGATCTGGGGAGTCAGTCGGGCAACAGTTTTAAACAACACACGACAGTCAAGTGTGTCTTGGTGTTATTCCCAAGATCATGATGATGATAATGCTAATTCTGACATACCCATTTTTCACCTGAGCGAAGTGAGGAAAGTCGGGTTTAGTACCTTTCCCAAGGGCACAAGGTTGGTGACGGCAGGATTCGAACCTGGAACCTCTTGGATCTGAGCCGAATGCTCTGCCGTCATGAAACACAACCCCATGAAGGAAGTCTTACGGAAACTGTTAGTGTTACCCACTTCTGAATTTCGGTTGAAGCACTTTTGCTTAGACCGTGGATCTAAAAATCAATACCGCAGGCATCTGTCGGCAAACAGCTCCTAAAGTGTCCATCAGAGTTGCACTTGGATTATCCCAGACGTGGACAGAAAGCCTCATCACACACTAAGTTAGCTTTCCACATAGAAGCTCTGCCTATACAGTCAAACCTGCCAAAGGCAACCCACCAGGGGTCCAAAGAAGACTAGCGGTCACCTTGGCCAGGTGGTCAGCATGAAGAGGTTTAGGCAGGTTTGACTGTATATGGTATGAGTAATTTTTTATGAGCTGGCTGCTGTCTTGGCATTTATAGAGTTATCTGACTCTGAAAACAATCAATGTATAAGTTCACATATACCTTGTGCTCCTTGTGTCCCATTATGACAGACTTCCCCACAATTTTTGCGTAACCACCATCTCTAGCTCCTCCTACTAGGCTTCAGAGGCAGTTGGAAAAAGGAGAAATTGGCCATATAAACAGATAACATGCCAGGGAAATAAGTCTGGTCCAATTCCCTGGCATGTTATCTTTCTATTTGGCCAATTTCTACTCTTTCCAGCCACCTCTGAAGCCAGGCAGGGGCTAGAGACGGCCTCTGAAGCCTGGTAGAGGCTACGCTGTCTTACCTGTTCCCTCATTATGTATACCTTGTGCACCTTGTGTCCCATTACCACAGTCTGCCCCAAGCTTTTAACGTAACCCGGTACCTCACCTGTTCCTTCATCATGTATACCTTGTGTCCCATTATGACAGTCTGCCCCAAGCTTTTAGCGTAACCCGGCATCTCACCTGTTCCCTCATCATGCGCAGCTTGTGTTCCTTCTCCCGCTGGATCTGCTCCATCAGGTCCTCCTTCCTCCTGTTAATGGCCTCAATGATGGCGTCACACTGGGCCACCAGACTGGCCTCAAAGTCCACACTGTTCTCCTGGGGCAAAGCAAGAAGAGATAGTACCTAAAGAATACCTCATTCGTAGAGAGGACAGGAGACAGACACAGTACTCAGTAGGAGGAGAGAAGACCCAGACAGGGTAGGATTAGAAGCAGGAAAGACCACACTCCAGACAAGACCAATAAGAATAGAAAATAAGAACAACTAGCTCTTAGATGGCTGAAGACAAAGGCAGAGCATTGAAGACAGAGAGAGGGCCTCGTAATAGTACATTGTCTACTAATACTGAGAACAGAAAGTAAGAACAGCTAGCTCTCGGATGGCTACTACGCATCTAAGACAGAAAGAAGCCCTTATATACTGATGCTGTAGGTACAATGATCATCATGGTAAAATGAGGCTCACTGTTACCCATCAAGACCCTATATCGTTTCCCAATACAGTCACCATCAATGCCAATCAGCTACCTCGATGGTACTCCCATTAAAACTAATTGAAAATGGTTTACTGCCTCGTTGTTTGAACAACGACTGGCCAAGATTAACTGAGAACCGTCGTGGTTTATGTATGAATCTCCTTGAAAAGGTCAAGCCAAGGACATTTTATATTACAGCTGCAGCGATGTGGTCCTCATCGATAAGCTGAGTCTCTATTAGATTCCGGTGGATATGTAAACTGTAAGGACTCATATCTAAATTGAAATCTGATATGATCCACCCAACAAGGCAGGAGAAGCATCGGTGCAGTTTTTACGGCATTTCATTAGTAGTTCAGTCACATCCCACATCCTTTGTTTGAAAAGGTGATGACCCATTTAATTACTGTAGGAGCAGAAGGCAGCTCCACTTTCACGGCAGGGAGAATGGTATTTATCAGATGTAATAATTCAACCATTCTGTGTAGTAATATGATCTGGGTGGTGTTTATATCATGTTTGAATTCGAGCGAAATCTCTATAATGTTCTGGAGATGAAGTGAGGAATTGTTCACAAGCAGAATTCCTTTAACTTGACGTCCCCTTTGAAGGTGACTTGCTTGCAGCTAATTGTAGGGAGACTGAGACTACAGACATATATTAACAGCCAGATAGTAATGGGAATATTGTTCAGCAAAATGAAGTGCTTCCTCATTTTCCACTGCATGTAAGACATGCTTCTATCCCCGTTAATCAGAAATCTCTATTACCAGTAAATAAGCATTATGTTCAATCCCGATTTCAGACTGTTCAAATGACGAATCACATGATTTAAATCCCGGCCGGCCTCATACATGTAAGGTCTCCGCACAGACCTACTTAACATTCTCTGCACACGACATGTAAATATCGTCTGTCCTGCTGGCACCCTTCATTGATTGAGTCTGAGCCGCGAGTACCAATCAATTTCCCTCAAGTTCAGCTGCGACTTCATACAAAAAACACCTCAATAACATGTAATATTTCTTTATTTGATGTTTTAAACCATAAGATGTTCTATCAAAATTCTGTTCAATTTCTATCAAAATTTTGTTCAAATTGCTATCAAAATTTTGTTCAATTGTTACCAAAATTTTGTTCAATTGCGTACAAATTTGGAAGCATGGATGTCTATCCCAGAATTCCTTTTTCTATTTCTATTACACCCACCCGACCCATTAATTTTCGGCAAAAATCAGAGAACCAGGAAGTAAAGTCGGTATAGCCTTATCAATCAACATTTGCTAACGGGTATAGAATTTTCTTCTTACATAACCATAGAGTTTCTCACCTGCTTACGTTTCGATGTCTATCAGACACCTTCCTCAGAGCTTCTGACTGGCTTGCATTCTCGCCGCAAAAACGCCACCTACATTGGCGTTAAATAGCGGCGAGTTGCAGAACTCCAGTCAGAAGCTCTGAGGAAGGTGTCTGATAGACATCGAAAGTAAGCAGGTGAGAAACTCTATGGTTGTGTAAGAAGAAAATTCTATACCCTAAGTATCTTCCAACCTGATGAAATTATTTACGGGAACATTTGCTAACTAGTGGTAATTTTCCCGCTATCTAACTCAAGGTCAGCCTCACACTATCACCAACATCACATCCATTTCAATATTACGTTTGCAAGAGAGAAGGTGAACCAGGAAACAGCGGGTGACGTTTGACATTCTCTCCTGCTACATACTGTCTACAAGACGAGGAATTATTGATGGAATCATAACGTTCAGAATCCAGTGAAATGTCATGGGTACATGTAAGTATAAACATGATCCGTATCTACCACCTACTGCAGGTTCATTCATATTCCCAGCAGGGTCACTCCTAAAGACACTCCTTCGCCCCTCAAGTATGATTTGCATGTGTGTCAATAATGAAGACGGAAGACACTTACTATTAGTTGATAGGGGAAAAAAATCTTGTGATCACAGTTTGGATGGGTTTAGATTTGTAACATTGTCTGGACATATTTCATATTTCCCCTCTGTCATTCCTGCAATCTTCCTGAAGGTGTACACTGTGTAATGTTATCAGAAGGCTATAGCTGGCTGAGCTACCAGAAAAGGGTTGTTCTAGCTGTCCCCCACAGTTAGGTCAATCAGCCATTATATTTCCCAAACTCGTCTTCGCAGGAATCTGATGAACAGGTAGCCAATACTAACTATCCAAAGTCATCCTGTCGCATGTCCCACCGGGATGTTGTCCCTGTTGACCTGAATGAATCAATGCTTAATCTGTGGATTTATCAGTTCCCACTTGTTAGCATGCTTGTGGTGTTACACATAACATTACCAGTGTACAAGACCTGGCAGGGCAAAGTTGCATAATTTATAGCGATCCTTCGTTACGACCCCACCCATGCTAGTTGAATCTGAACCCACAGAGGGAAGCATCTGATGATGCCGGCAGAATGCCAATGAGGTTCATACCAAAGAATCAGCATCACTGTTTCTGACAACAATTGAACATGGTGCAATACACCGGCACTGTCAAGATCCATTAAAAACACATGAAAGTGTGACAAATCATTCCAACTGACTTTTGCAATTTGACCTGTCCCGTCCTGACTTATGCCACCAGGTCATGACCAATACACATAGGATGATCTGCAGGCAGAAAGTTGAAGCCGACAACATGAGCAGCTAACCTGAATCGCTTCTGACCAAGATGGATGAACGCTTCTATTTCTCCCTCTGCCAATGATATAACACGCTCCCCAATCAGCTGCCCACCCCCTAACAGAACCCATTAACTTCTGCCATCCATGAGCTCCTAATAGCTGACCTAAACCCTTCCCAGGACTATAACTACTAGATCAAGTCTAACACCACAAGTGATGGCTGGCTCAGAATATCTTTAAAGTTATATATAATTGCTATTTGTGGGGCAATGATGTTCCTGGAAAATATAGGTATTTCTTACTGATTTTTACAACTGTGGTAATTTTGCACTATTTTCCAACATATCATACATTTAAACTTTGAAGAGTTACATGCAGTTCCTTCTGAGGCTAGGTTATAATTTCTATACAGCTTCAAAACTAGTATCTATATTCTCGTTAGCATAGTGTAAAGAATTGTCTGATGTCCCTGTCTGACACTAGCCTTGCTAGATCTAGTATGATCCCACTGATCGCGACTCTGCAGAGTAGTAATCAGTGGGAATGGACTAAAGCTAGCATAGGGGTTCAGATCACAGCATAGCAGGCCCCTAGGGCTCAAACAGCCTGGTGAAAGCTTGAGTATAGAATGGGATACTCTACCTGGACCTGGTCCAGCATCTCTCTCAGGTTACTCAGGAAGTTCTTGCCCTCTCTGGCCTTGTCTGACAGGCTGCTGATGTTGTGGGACAGCTCCGCCTGTAGGGAACGACAGGAACAACACTTTTAGTGTATGCTGGAAAAAGTCACTATCATAGTCATTGTTTTTCCAGAAAATGTTTTGTCATCCAAGTCTCCCTTGCAATGTTACACCTGAAATGCTGCAAAAAATTCATCACCAATGACATCCCAGTATAGTACACATGAAACAACATACAACAATATTGATATCGATCATTGGTTAGATAATCATGTAAGAATATATCGATATACAAAAGGTGAATGATAAGCAGGGTCTGACCATCTTGAAGATACTCGAGGACAGTAGAAGGATAATAACATCTTTTTGCGACAGAACCTTGGAAAAACCCATAAGTGGCCTAACGGCTTCAACATCCTTCAAAAACCATGCCATATTGTAAGATGTATTTTCTCTGACAAGAACATTGAGCAAGTTGATCAGTCACACAGATGCAATCACTACCAAAATAGCAGTGGGAGACAAGGAAAATACCCATATGATCCCGCAGTTTATTCTTCCAGTCAGCCAGCAAAAAGCACACATAAACCGCTGAAAAACTGCCTTGTGATGGCAAGGAACATTTGTCAGGATGTACAGTTACTCAGTACCACCCAGACTGTAAAATCTGTCTGTCCCGTCGGTCCAAGGATGACTGACTGTTGCATCATTTTACGATTCACCTGAGTGACAGGTGTGGGGAATTGGATGCCAGGCTGTGGAGGGAGGGAAATTTTGGTGTGTCACACAGAATGGGACTGGGCATTTACAGCACACATATCATCCCTCATTACTCAGTCTAACCTGGAAAAATGGCTGTAGGCCATGTCTGGGTACTGTGAATTTACTTAAGTTCAGGGGGACTTATTTTGTGCAAGGGCGTGAAGGAGTCATTTGCAACTTGTTTTGAGTTTGTGGCAGATTATAAACAGAGTGGGCATAGCTGACAGAAAATTTGCTTTCTACCGTGAAAAAAAAAGGTTTAAAACCACCACAGCTACTGTATATTTACAGTATGGTACATTACATGCATAACAATCCAAAACAGTAATTGCTGACTCAGCAATTGTTCAATAGCTCATTGTTTCATGGTATGATCACAATAGTAACTGTGGGTGGTATACGGTCTGAAAACTCACACTTCTAACGTTGTTAAATGACATACTTGTAGTGTTGCCAGCCCAGTATTTAATTACTGATGTACCTAAAATCTGCATAAATTATACAAATGTCTGCCATACAACGTGGCCCATACAAATTAGACTTTTATCATATAACATTTTTCTTCTCCATATTCCATCACTTGACCTGTTCTGCAATTATGTACTACACATTAGGCCATGTTGATTTGATTATATGGATGACATCCGCGCGCGCATGAATTTTCGGCCGTTTCAAAAAAAAAAAACAGTTTTCAACCATACTGTAAATCGTACAAAACAGTTGCAAAAATATACCGTAAGTTTTAAAAAAACCATACCAATGTCGTAGAATGCCAAAATCAAACGAAAAAAGATGAAATTGTAAAGAAATGAACTTGAAGACTAGATTATTCGCCAAACCATATTCTGTCCCATTTGTTCAACCCTCATGACCACGTAGATTTCATAATGAAAACAACTTTTTTTTTTTGCAAAACTTTTTTTTATTCGCACGCGCGCATAAATTTTGGGGTTCCCGGAGGACGTCATCCATATAATCAAATCAACATGGCCTTACATGTAAATAAGGTGTACGACACATCCCCATCTAATTACTATAATCAAACCTGTACCCCCAAATACCTAAAAAAAACTTCACAGCTGTCTGCTCTACCCTCAGGCCGGTCAACAGGTACGTTTCATGGGTTTTTAACACAGCTGTGTAAACATCCAATGATTCATCAAATGCAGGACGGAATGTTGAAGATTAGGACTCGATTTACACTTGCGGGGGAAAAAACTGACGTACAAAACCTATGTATACTTTTGAGGGTACGAAAACTGCCTGCAACAAATTTTTCCTGCGTGGAAATTGGCCAGCTTAGACATACGTCAAGAACATACGTTCAGGTTGTACCTTACCTTGAGGGTTGGCATACAATAGAATATAATATACACTCTTTACTCCTAAATCTCCAATTGTACAGTTTTCTAACTATCTGGCTCTTTCTGTGTTAGAAAAGCTGGTTTGGTCAGAAAACTTAACAATTGTACACCCCTCCATCTGGTTTGGCATCACCCTAAATCAGACCTGACACATCTGTACAGATTTTTAATTTCCACAACGTCAATGTCAGTGTCGTACTGGAAACAGAGCACCAACAGTAACACTTGCAAGTTAAAAATACCACTGCCACCTGCCGCAACAGCTGGGTCTGCTCATGTAGAGATGAAGGGGATCAGGAAGGATTTGGCTCCAACAAAGCACCAAAACATCACTGCAAGGGAGCTCAAGGATTCTCTCAATCCATTTAGAACTCCCCCCTAGGAAGAGAACAATCGGCCACCCTATTGGTCAATTTCTCTGACTTTTAAAAGAGCAAAGGATTTTGTGCAGCCATCCTTTGAGCAAGGAAAGAGCACAGCATTTCAGTACTTGCTTTTTGATAAATCCTACTTTGCCCTTTCTGGAAGAAACCCTAGAAAATCCTTTCTGTATTCAACATAGAGCTTGACATTTCCATTGGATTTCTAGGATCATTCATGTTTTTTTTCAAGAAGGATGAAATTTTCCCTTTTTCGTGTGCAACTTCCAGGCTTCATCACCCTGTGAACCCTTCATGAAGGTGGGCTTCTGGAATAATTGCATTCCAGAAAGACCCTCTGGAGGCTGTGGAAATTTAAATCAATTTCTTCCAGGCTTTAGGCATAAATACCATATCTTAATTCATTTGCTACTGCTTGACTGTATGGACCACATGCATGTCCAGCAGGTGTTGGTAGCCTTGTAGGGGCATAGCTGTATGTAACTGAGCTACCTGTAATGTGTTACAGTGTACCTGACATGAAATAAATGGAAACATTTTGTTTTGTTGGAAATGGTAACTTACATATCAGTAATTAAACACAGCAACTGCTACACAGTGCTTCACTGTTGAGTGTTCTCATTGCCACCTGCTGTTACCAAGGAAACAGGATTTTCCAGTTCAATTAAAACCCTGTTAGTTTCCAGCTATCACAACAAGATCACAAATGCCTCTATTTCACAGTTTGATGAATATACATGTCTTTTTCTCCTCTACCTAACCAGTATTTTTTTTTCCTTTTCAGGTGTTTTTGATACCTTTTCAATAACTCACTACAGCATTCTGTTACAAATAACATTTGCTATGCTTAAGCAATTTTGACATAGAACCAATTATTAAGATGGGCACCTCCAAATCCTTTGCTTTATTACCTTACCTGTTATTTACCTTAACCTGATGGCAACTGCTAGCGGCAGAACAGTAAATTACCCCTTGCAAGGCTAAAGGTCACAACTGATCAAGGGGAGTGCCATCATCACAGAGGAGGCAAAATCAAGCTGGTTGGACTGCTCTCACTGGAACAGTTTTCAAGTCTCACAACTCATCACCAAACATGAATCTCAAATCCCAAAAGTCAGAATCAACTAAGTTTTAGATCTATTGTAGATCTATTGGGCGGATGCGTCTTACTACTACTAACATTCAAGAGATTCAAGATTCAAAGATATGTTTGCATACATACATTTCAAAGAATATGCATCTAAAACATACATTGTTGTTGCTTTTAATATTACTTTTTAAATATTATATTACTTTCAATATTAGACTATGATGCATCCCAACATTCAGAGCCATTTTGTTGCCATGTGAGTGGAATGAAGACAGGACTGTCAGAAATGGTACCATATGGTTGAAAACCTACCTTCAACCTGAATGAATATAAATGATCTTCATAACTCATTATTGATATGGACAAGGCTTGACCATACTGTTGGCATCAATACAATATGATCAATACAATTAGTGTTTTTGTTGATTCTTTATTTGGGTCCACTTTAATGAGTGTCACGATTAATCAAATCCATCAAATTGCCATCTATATTTCCAAGTACCAAATTATGAAACTGAAATGCTCATATTATTTCTCAGCTCATTTCTGCTCTACAATGACAATCACAATCAATATTCCAAAGACTTTGATGTTGACAGATTTATGTTACTTATACCCAATTTCCCCACATAGCTCATGCACAAAATATCCATGGCACTTGTAATTTACAAACAAGAAATAAGCTATCCTTTGATTAATCATTTCCTATGTTAAAGAGTACAGCTTTATTCACTGGAAATATAGCAGGCAACTAGGTTGGTGCTGTAAATATAAATACAGATGGGAGGATGATATACATAAAGCACAGCAAGGCAGCAGAGATCCATGAAATAATCAATACCACTGTATATCACTGCAAACATTCTCCCCTGTACTCATATTGGGCAGAGCTCGTCACCCCTTCACAGGCAAAGGGCCGCACACTTCGGCACTGCCCAATAACATTCACCTTCAACCAGATATTGAATTTCCAGTGTTTCCCATCACGGCAACTGGATTTAACTGACTATTCAGCGAGCCAAATAGAGCGTGCTAGAACTGCTACAAATCATCATCATGCACTCCTCCGTATGGTTATTTTATATTCACAAATCAAACTGAAATCGCCTACAAATATTCTGAGCTAACTTGACTTTCAAAGCCTTAAAGAATTCACGAGATCCTCAATGATTTCCCACAACACCACCAAATCTTATAAGCAGCACCACAGAAGCAAGGACATGAATATGAGCCTGAATTATGACTCTCCTAACCTGACATTATGTCACAAAGGAGAAATGATATTGGTTTATTGCTCCATGAATATGCTATCATAAGAACAGTAATCTGCAGTTTATGTGTCAAGCAGAAAGCCACCCAGGGAATATAGGGTGTGGCAAATGGCCAGGTTTGTGCGCATAGTGTCCAGTATTTGTTACATACAAACCAGAATACTGAAGGTAGCAAAATATAACATTTTTTAA